GCCAGGGAGAAACTTAGTGCAGCAGTGTCGGCACCTGGCACAGCACCGGGGACGTCGACAGGAACAGTGCCACGAAGGGTGGCTTGAACAGTACCTGCCAAAAACGGCCTCTCGGATAGCGACAGGCCAGCGCCAGGGATAACGCCAGCCACTTGCCAGGAACGTCGCCGGGTAACACCAGTCGGGGACTGGTGGGGTGATGCTCAGCTTTGTAGTCTTAGTAGTCCAGCTTTTGCCTAGAACTAACATTTGCTTCGCTATTTCTGTTAAGGCTAGTGTCTCGCTCTCAGTTCGTTTCGAGTTAGCTGACTTGCCTCATGTCGTTCTGAAGCACGCGTTAGTGTGTCGGCCGTGGCATTGTTCTTGCCCTTGCAGTAGCGAACGGTGAAGTCGTAACACTGCAGCAGCAATGCCCAACGTGCTAGGTGGCCACATGGTTCAATCAAGCGCTTCATTCACGTGAGCACCGTGTGGTCAGTCTCAATCACAAACGCAACTCTGTCGATGTAAAAGTGAAACTTATGGAGAGCGAGAACTATCCCGAGACACGCCGTTTCAGTTACCGAGTAGTTCCTCTTTGCCGACATCAACGAACGGCCCGCGAATGCAATCGATCGGAGGGCACCTCTTTGCTTTTGAGGCAGAATTGCTCTTAAGCCCAGGTCACTTACGTCTGAGTCGCAAATTCTGTTCAAATCGGGTAGCTGCAGCTCTGCCGTGTTGGCCAGCAACTTCGTGAGGGGACACAGTGTGGCCTCTTGTTCTCGGCTCCAAGCCAAAAGCTCGCCATTGCTCAAGAGCTTCGTCAAAAGCACCTGCACCCGCGCGCAGTCTAGAATGAATTGGCGATAAAAGTTCACCACCTTAGAAAGCGCCTCGGCCCACCGATATTGTTCAGTGATGGATAGCTGACTATCGCTTCAAGCTTACCCTTACCCGACAAAATGCGACCCTCGTCAAACATGAATCATAATAATGTTATTTGGGTCGCTGCTATGAGCTTTGCCCGAATTCAGAGTAATGTCCGCAGAGCTCAGCCTTTCTAGAATCTCTCTAGTGGCACAAGTGCTCCTCGAACGTTTTCGAGTAAGCGACTGTGTCGTCTAGATATACGAGTGCGTGCTGCCACTTTGCATCTCCCAAAACACGGTCTATTAGCCTCTGATACGTAGCAGGAGCTTCCACCAAGTCAAAAAACATTCTCCTGAATTGGAAAAGTCCTCTGTGGCATGTGAAAGCCGATTTCTTTTTATCCCGCTCATCCATCTCAAGCTGAAAATATTCACGGCTTGCATCGAGCGTAGTGAAGTACTTCGCCCCGCCTAAGTTGAATACTAAGGATGAAATGGAGGGAAGAGGGTACGCGTCCTTCTTTGTAACCTCATTCAGCCTGCGGTAGTCTACAAAAAGGCGATATGTATCATCTTTCTTTGGAACTGGTACTACCGGGAAACCCCATGGTCTGTTTGAGCACTAAACTACGCCTGTGTCAATGAGTTCGTCCAAGGCAGCATCAAGTGCTTTTCGCTTAGCCAAGCTGATCGGTCGGGGATTGCATTTCCAAGGTCGTGCATCACCGGTCTCAATTCTGTGCTTGACCAGCGTAGTGCGGCCTGGGTGGTCAGTGAAAATGGCGTTGTACTCGTGGACAGTTACGACAGCTTCGCTCTTTCTCCTTCTGGCAGGCTCTGTAACTTTACCAAAAGCGAATGCACTGACCTACCCTGTAGCGCGGCAGATTGTTCTGGCGGGGTGGTTACTCGCGTGCTCTCGCTTCTCGCATGCCTTTGTCAATGCGGTGGCCTTCGAGAAAAGCTTCAGGGCATCTCTGTCGCACTTTCAGTGACTGCCATTTGCAATGTCAATGACAATACTCGACTCGGCGAGAAAGTCTCGACCCAGCTGCCCTTTGCAATGACAATACCCGACTGGGCCAGGAAGTTTCTACCCAGGATGAGGGACATTGACAGTCCCGGGAGATGCACAAAACGTTGTCGCCTCACATGTCTTTCCCTACGGATCACTAGCTTAGCTACGCCGCTCGACTGTGCTGTGCCGAAAGCAAGGTGGAAGATGGTGTTGCTTTGTCTCAAGAGGATGTTGTTCTCGCGGAGATGGTGCAACACATCGTCCCCAAATAAGTAAGCCCTTGCCCCCAGTATCCAAAAGTGCTGCAAACTTCTTTCGAGTTATTGTTAACCGAGTCTACTGCATCACCTGCGTGCCCAAGTGAAGGTTCAAGTGATCCGAACGCATTGGTGGAATTACTGATCGCCGCGCAGTGTCCGACATGGTTCACTGGCTGTGTCATCGGTTTCTCAAACCACGCATTTTCTCTTGGCCCGGCGTGCGGTCGCATTCACGGGCGATGTGTTCTGGCACGGCACACTGACAGCTAGGACCGCGGAAACCACGCTGGCTCAATCGTAAGTCACCTCAATCTGGTGGGCCTCGCTCTGGGTTGTGCTGCTCGTTAGGCCTCATGTCGACCGCACGCTCTTGCTGTGGAATTTCATATGCGAGGGCTGTACGGAGCACATAAGCGTAAGGGTCGAAAGCACTTTCTGACAGCTCCCGATCACGTGGTACGTGCTCATCAGCGAACGATGCTGACGCGTTACCCTTAAATGCTTCTGAAGCTATACTGCGCCGCCATTGCACGCGCAGCATGACTCAATTGACTGCGCTGCTGGCGGAGGCGGGCAATACGCTTGCGCCGCGAGGATGTACGCTTGTAGGCGCTTTGATTGCTTTGGCAGTGAGTTTTTCCATGTCTACGAACTTGCATCTCTTGAAGTGCACCGCAGAAGTCTAGTGCTCTTGCCATGTAACACGCTCGACTTTTTCTGTGTTGGTGACGAGAGGGTTAGCGAGAGGATAAAGTTCATTCACTGCCCATACATACTGCAGCAAAGATGCGTCTAGATGCTGGGTGCGTAGCACCAACTCCCTTCGCAAGCGCCACTCATAATTAGATGGGACGAATTCGCTGCGGAAGCTGTCGTGGAACTCTTCTACTGTGCGGGCGCGATGTCCGGTTAGTCAAAACTGTCAAGCCGCTTGGCCTGTGAGCGACACCGGGACCACACTCTCGAAGTTCAGCGTCAGTAATCCCTAATGCCTTCTGACAGTGGAGCAACCAGTTGAGATTCTCGTTGGCGCTGTTGAAGTCTTGGTAGCCAGTGTAGGTAGGCATGTCTACCTTGAAATGTGGCCACACATTCTGCACAGGAGCCTGCTTTGTGTTCTGCAGGGACCTTGCCAGGCTTTGCATAACTGACAGCGCATTTTGTAAGATTATCTTGCTTGAGGGCAAACTATTGCCCGAGGACTCTCATACAGTTAGAGCGTGTGTCGAAGCAGCTTGTGGCGGCACCTCTCTAATCGCGTTGCGAGGTGACAGGGCGCCATGCGTGGGGCTCTCCATTGTGTACTTAGTCTCTGCTCACGCAGTCTCTACGGCTTCTTGGTTGTGCCATGTGAAACGACCAAAATCTACGTTGTCAGAAAGTCTGAACAATGCTCCCACGTTATCCAAAGGATTGACACTTTGCGACATTAGACAACATAAATAAATCTTGGAATTTCAACATGCCTGTTGCCCTATGTTGGAAGAGCATCGGTAATCGCTCACATCCACAAAACTAGCCGCATTGCCAAATTCGTTACCTGGAGCACCAGACGGAGGGGGGCAAGCCTTTAATGTTCTAACCACGCACAGTCATACCGTGCACGATTAACGTCCCATTGGTCCCATTGGGCGCTTTTGGTCGTCGAAATCCTTGGCTCGCAAAGGGTATATAGGGGTCGTCCTCCCGGAGGCCTGGTAGCCGGCACAAAAAAGAGCTTCTTGCTGTTGGCACGCTGGTTCTGACAAACCTCCTGGTTTTCTTCTCCCCAAACGAGAGTTGGTTCCCTTGCTAAGGGAGGGTAACGAAAAGAATAGCGTACACCGACCACGAGGTGACCGGTCCATTTGAAGGAGGCTTCATTGCCTCGTTTCTTGAAAGGACTGACATTTTCTCGCAGCTAGGCTGCTGCGCTGCAATATAAGGGAAAGGAACCATGGGCGCATATATTCCCCACAGCTCTCACTCGTGCAAAGCAAGTCATCATGTCGCCCCGCCACGGTGGTCTAGTGGCTAAGGTACTCGGCTGCTGACCCGCAGGTCGCGGGATCAAATCCCGGCTGTGGCGGCTGCATTTCCGATGGAGGAGGAAATGTTGTAGGCACGTGTACTTAGATTTGGGTGCACGTTAAAGAACCCCAGGTGGTCGAAATTTCCGGAGCCCTTCACTACGGCGTCTCTCATAATCATATAGTGGTTTTGGGACGTTAAACCCCACAAATCAGTCAATCAATCAATCAAGTCATCATGTCTATTAGGCCGCCCATGCTCCTGAGCTTACCACATCAGAGCCTGCAACTGCCGTACTTTGACTCTTCCTTTCTGGACCCTACCAGTACTGTTCGTGCGGTGGCTGACATGTACCACATGGTATAGGCATGCCAGCTCAATCCTTCTTTACCCCCGAACCCAAATCCAACCAGAGAGAAGTGGGAGGCGACCCTGCTCAGTTGCCAAGACATTTGGCCAACAAGCCATGGTCCAGCATGCCAGGACAGCGGCCACGTCCAATGGGGTTCTGACTAGGGACTCCACCTAATACTGTAGAGAAGCTGATCCACTAGGGGCTGGTTTCCCTGGCAACCTCTCTGTATTTAATAAATGTTTACCACCACCACCACCGCAAAGTGTTGCCCCGTAGAGTAAAGGCGCTATACACTCAAGCGCTATACACGGGCGGGGCACCACTGTACATTCAGTCATGACCAGTGCCAAGCCGCGAACTCTTGTTAGAGTTCACCATAAGAAAAGAAGTGTGGCTGTCACTTTTTACGCATTCTTCTTTCACCTTTGTTTCAGTAAGATAAAAGCTTCTTTGAGAAATGCTCATTTACACACAGCGTTGGTGAAGTTTGTAGTTTTTCTGTGCAGGACGAAGACGTCTGAACTGCAGAGGCAGATTAAAGCCCACCTCGCCTTGCACCATCAGCTTTAGGAGGGAGTGCCAAGCGAAAGCATTGAAGGAATATTGTTTCTAAGTTATTGCAATATGTTCAACTTAATCTCACTTGAACTCTTGTAAATTATTTTCACTCTTGCTTTCCCAAAAAAACTGCCTAAAAATATCATCAGCACTGCTTGTGTGAGCTTTGTTGAACCAGTAGAAAGATTGAGGTGAAGCCATCATTGCAGCCCGAGTTTTTTTTACCCCTATCAAAAATTACATTTTGTGAGCAGGCATGCGCATTGCTTAGATTTTTAACCTTCTCTTATTTTAGTTTAGAGTTGAAGAACATGTATTCTTTGATTTTAGTTTGGTCTAGGAGTAATGTATTAAAGAAATGAATTTAAGTAATGATTGAAACAAGTGATCTGAAAGCTTAATACTCATGAAGAAAGGAATTGGTCACCATTTCCAGGTGTTGCACACCAGTGTGTTGTTTGCTCACAGTAACATTTTCTTTTATATTCTTGGATCCTTGAACTGAATGTACACCATATTGATTGCAAACATGACATACGCTTTACACCACACGATCCAGCACTGTCAAAGCAAAGTATATACTTAAGGCTGTATGACTGCTTAACTAGTCACACTAATACCTGAAGTCTGATATTCACAGACTGGTGTGTATTCTGAAATGACATGTCTGTGTGCAAGCAATGAAGTGCTTACTATTGTTCCAACTTGACTATTAAAGTTATTTTAAAGCAACAGCTTTCTTTTAAACTGCTGTGGGTGATGCCTTTCTTTTTATAGCTGTGTTGTGCTTGAAATAAAAAAGACTGAGAAAGGATTCAAATGAGTGACTATATTATACCAATCTTGGTGTCATCAATTTACCTAGACTTTCATCAGTACAAGCTCTACATATGTTGTTTATTTGGTGTTAAGTTGTTGTGTGAACAAGTTGAAGTGTGCAACAAAAATGGTTTGATTGCGCAACAAGGCATTTTTCTTTTTTTTTTGCTTCCTTCCTTTCCAAGTCTCAGAATAAACTATCATGTTTGAATACCTTTTAGTAGCAGTGTGTTGATACTGAATAATAGCTTGTGAATCGCATACTGAATCATATTGCCAAGGGGTCGTGACGTTGACGAAGGAAGCAGACTGTAATTACAAAAAGAAACTTTTTATTGGGCCGAACTTGTGGTCCATGAACTGAAGGTCAGATTACAATGATGCCCATTAGCACTGATTGCGGCGAGCAGAGCGCCGGCTGTCGATCAACTGACAAGCAGTAAAGCGCGTTGGCATTTATACAGGTGGCGTCCAACGTTCTAGCGTTAACGCTAGCAGCCGCATAGGTTCCAGAATAATGTGCATTGTCCGTAAAGTGGGCGTAATCTTAAGAAAACAATCTACTATAATCGTGAACCTTCTAAAACAATGAGGCGCAGTTCGTGCTGAGTATTCTAGACATGCTTTGTGGCCGAAAACTGACTGAAAACATAAGTGCAAAAAATGCACGTGGCAATATCGTGAAAAAAGAAAGTGTAAATCAAATATGAAAAGATCTATTCTCGCTGGCGTCAATTTTTTCTTGCTTGCGTGTAAAACAAATTTATGCAGTCACTGTTTTTTCTTTTCCTTTATTTATTTATTTATGATACCTCAAAAGGCCACCAAAGGAAGGGGTTTTACATGAGGGGTGGGCATATCTATAAAAACAGCTCTTCTATGATGCTATTGAAGATGGCTTGGTCGGAATGAAGCGCTGCCTTGGTGGGAAGGTCATTCCAGTCCCTTGACGTCTGGTTGAAGAATGAGGAGGCATGGAAGACAGTGTGGGCTTGAGGGGGTGCTTTATGTGCCATATCGAAACGGAGGGTGCAGAATCTGCGTAATTTAATGTGCTGTTTGCTTATTGAAGTTCCTGAACTAGCATGCTCTAGAAAAAGCGGAGTGAAAATACAGTATAGACTACTTATAACGTAACCGCTTACAATGGGGTCTTTTTCAACTCCCGTTTGCCTCCCTATAGACCCTCATGTATACACATACCGCTTATTGTGCAGTCCCCCAAGATGAAAGACCGGTTATAATGCAGTTGCCGGAAATCGTTTGTGACAAATGCGGTAGCGCGGGCTCTTCTTAAAGAAGGCGCGCTGCGTGTGCTGCTGAGGAGCGAACAAAGAGGTCGTTACGGAGGAGGAGGGGAGACGGAGTAAACGAGCGAAGTGTTACGTAAAAATGACACGAGGCAAGTTTATTCAGAATTTATATTGACACTGATGTGTATAGCATCGACTAAGATGGAGGACAGCACACACAACGGACAGACCACTTCCTCGTTGTCTTCTGACCGCTGATATGTCAGCTACGTAGCATTACTCCCCGGCGGTAAAAGCGCCATCTCAGTGATTATTAATTACGGTCTACAGTAGGCAGGTGGCAAGGTTTTAGCCTGCTGACGTGCACAACATCACTGGTTGTGATTGTAGGCAGGCTTGTGGTCTCAGATGCATGAATGATCTTATAGGTGACGCCGGTTACCTAGTGGATGATACAGTAAGGACCCATGTAGCGAGACAACAACTTCTCTGATAAGCCAACTCGACAAACTGGGCACCACAGGAGAACGAGAGAATCTGGTGAGAAGCGAACGTCAACATGCCGGCTGTCATATATGGCTTTCGGGGTGGCTTGCGAAGCCAAAAGTCTAGAGCGGGCGATCTGACGTGCGTGGTCGGCACGAGCAATAGTGTCGCGTGCATATTCATTGACGGCGTTGTAGTAATTGGAAGTAGGGTGTCGAGTGGTAACGTTGGATCACGGCCATAGAGCAAATAAAAGGGTGAATAACCAGTGGTGTCGTGGTGCGAAGAATTGTACGCGAAGGTCACGTGAGGTAGCCCCAGGTCCCAGTCATTGTGGTCGGAGGACACATACATCGTGAGCATGTCTCTGAGGGTGCGATTTAGGCGTTCGGTAAGGCCATTTGTTTGGGGATGGTAAAAAGTGGTGAACTTGTGCTGCGTGGAGGAAGAGCGCAGAAGATCGTCGATTACTCGGGACAAAAATGCGCAGCCGCGATCCCCCAGTAATTGGCGAGGAGTGCTATGGTGTAGGATGACATCGTGGAACAAAAAGTCTGCAATGTCAGTAGCGGTGCTGGTGGAGAGTGCTCGAGTGATGGCATACCTAGTTGCGTTGGCTATAGCAACGGCGACCCACTTGTTGCCCGATTTCGACTCAGGAAAAGGTCCGACAAGATCTATACCAACACAGAAGAAAGATTAGGTTGGGATGGAGATCGGTTGAAGAAGCCCAGCCCGGCACAGTAGGTCGCTTCCTACGTTGGCATTTATCACAGGAGGACACGTAAAGGCGAACAGACCTGGCGATACCACGTCAAAAGAAGTGGCGACGCACACGGTCGTACGTCCGAGATACACCTAGATGACCAGCAGTTAGTTCATCATGAAGCTCATGCAGCACGGTTGAACGCAAATGTTTCGGTACGACAAGAAGGAGCTCGGGGCCACCTGGCTGGAGGCCACGACGGTACAGCGTGCCGTTCAGGAGGACGTACGTGCGAAGCGACGCGTCGTTCGGAGCAGATTTGAGACGGTCAATAATTTGTTGCAGAGAAGCATCACGACGTTCATTACCGATCTGAAGAAACTGGGACATTGACATGACGCTGAGGCTAGGCTCGATGTCTGATTCGTCGGGCTGATCAACAGGGAAGCGGGATAAGCAATCGGCGTCTGAATGGAGATGTCCAGACTTATAAGCAACCGAGTAGGAATACTCCTGCAGGTGTAATGCCCAACGGCTAAGTCGTCCAGTGGGGTCCTTCAGAGAAGAAAGCCTACACAGGGCGTGATGATCTGTGATGACGCGGAAAGGGCGGCCATACAAGTAAGGACGGAATTTCGATACCGCCCAGACAAGGGCGAGATATTCCCGTTCTGTTATAGAGTAATTACGTTCAGACTTTGAAAGCAGACGGCTTGCATGGGCGATTACACGGTTGACATGGTCGACTTGTACTTCAAGCAGGCTGTGGTGTGTGGAAAGCGTCAGTAGAGTATTTTCGGCAGTCATTGGTATTGCAGCTTCATCTCTATAAGCTGCAATATCTAGTTTTCCTGCTGTGATCGTCCAAAGAAGCTCGGCGAAGAAAAGCGCCGAGGCGGCGAAGAGTGGGATTGGCGACGTAGCGGGGACGGGGAGCTGGAGCTGCGTCGACCGGACGAAGGGGCGTCAGTGTTGCGGCGACCGGGCAAGGGGGCGTCAGTGGAAGGCTCGTAAGATGACGAATAGAATTGAAGGGTGCGGCGGCTGAACGTTGAGGGGTCATCGGGTGTATGTTCACAGAAGTAGAGAAGCTCTGACGTGGTTGGTTTGACCAACGATGCTCGGCAATAGCAAGAAACGTGCCCAGGCTGGTGGCAGGAAAAACAAATAGGCCGGCCGTCGGGTGTTCGCCGTTCCGAAAGGTTACGGAAGGGCATTGTTGGAGGTAAACGGCGAGCTTGTCCTGGGGAGTAAAACGATACTTCAGGGCGAGTCAAGGGACATGCTGATGGAAGGCCGAGGTTCGCAAACTCCTGCCTCGCCACAGCTTGTATGAACACCACTGACTGCTGTTGTTAGTCAGAGGCGAGTGTTGCAAAAACGAATGGCTGAGGAGGAGCTGGACAGGTGGCTTCGATTTCCCGACGAACAATGCGCGTCAGGTTGTCATACGTGGGGGACTGGCGAACGGCTTTACACGATGAAGTTGTGGCCGTGTTGGGCAGCCAGGTAAATCGCTGAGTAATTCCGCGGCTCCTGGCATCTTCAAACCGTCGGCACTCTTTAATGATGGCGTCAACGGTGCCAAGGTTGTACACTAGAAGATTAAAGGCGTCGTCTGCTATGCCTTTCAGCACATGGGCCACTTTCTCACTCACTCATGTGCTCGTCAATCTGGTGGCATAGGGCGATGTTGTGAATGTACGTGACGCACGACGACGTCTGTGCATGCGCTGCCAGTTGATTACGCGCTGCGATCTGCCGCCTAACGGTGTCGCCAAAAAAGTCACAGATCTTCTCTTTAAAAGAGTCCCAGCTTGTAATATCCACTTCGTGCGTCTCGAACCACACCCACGGTTCGCCATCGAGGTAAAAAAGCACATTGGCAAGCATAAGAGTCGGGTCCCACCTATAGCTTGCGCTGACCCATTCGTACCGGTTGATCCATTTGTCGATGTCAACACCATTTTGGCCGGAAACACCATTTTGACCATTTTGACCAACACCATTTTGACCGGGATCATGAGCAGGAGGTAGAACGACATACGTAGAAGTCACGGAAAGGGCAGGTGGTGAAGACGATGGTTGTTCAACCTGTGACATGGTTGGACCTATAATGATGCGGCCGTTGCAGAGCTTCGTGATGAAGACAGGGAAGTACCCAGCACCTCCGCCACAAAGATGTTACGTAAAAATGACACGAGGCATGTCTATTCAGAATCTAGATTGACACTCATGCGTATAGCATTGACTAAGATGGAGGACAGCACGCACAACCGACATACCACTTCCTCATTGTTGACTTCTGACCGCTGATATGTCAGGTACGTAGCAGAAGGGCGGCAGGAAGAAAAAGAAAATGAAAAAAAAAAAAGATCACGGGATACTGCGCGGCTTGCCGAGCGTGCGATTTTCCGCACAATACAGGGTGCAGCATCACGCCGCATCGGAGCTATCAGTGGGAGGCTCCAGGGGCCCATGCGGTGCCTCGACATGCAAGGTCGGACGACTTTGTATCCTCGTAATAAAGCTCAAAACAAACAACATTGCACAGCCGCGCTTCGTTCTATTAAAAAAATACTGAATAAAATGCCTTCATCAATGACAAGCACGTCACAACAGCTGATTATTGACGACTCCAACAGGTAGGGCTGGGCGTCTGCCGTCGCCTACACCGTTCACGCGTGAGCTCGTCATTGAGTGCTTGTTTTTGACAACACTATTAAGTTTTGCACTCGTATGTAATGCATTAGCATACGCTATTACTT